ATTATTTTTTTTTCTTTTCTCCCTTGTGGAGCTTGAGTTACCTCCCTTAGGTCGGAGGCTAGTACGGCACTCAACTGAGATTATTCTTATAAGTTCCTCTTGACTTATTAAGGTGTATGCAGCATGACATGGCATCGCATACAATAGTTAAAGCATAAACATGTATATATATAACATGTGTAATTTTTTTCTTTAAAATCTATTCATGCTGTAGGCGAGATTCCTACTTACCTGATTTACAGAGCTGGAATCCACTTTTCGCCAAACAGTCTATTCTCTTACTTGCTTATTTCTGAAAATGAAACCCATTGAGAGTGTGAGATTAACTGTCGTTTGCTATTCTATTTTAGCAACTTATGAAGGAATCTAACCCTTTTCTTAAGGCAGGTATTCCTTTCATTTTCTGAAGGATAATTTACTATAAGAATCAATTTATTAGATCCTCAAAATTTTATTTTCCTTAATTGCCCTTAACATACTTATGTCTAGATTGAAAATCATTTACCCAATCTAGTAACTTATTCTCCATAATTTTCCTCATTGGACTTATTATGATATTAAGGTCCAATTCGGCCTAGAAACTTATTAACGGAATTCTAACTCTTAGGCCGCTGAAATTTAAACTCAAACAGAGTCTCTTAAATCAATGCGGGCGTTGGACCCACAACAAATCCTCGAAATCCTAAGGACCTATCGTGTTGGGCTCGTAGGTGCCCGTCGGGATGATTTGCTTGATAACCCACTATGTTCTTTAAAGAAAACATTTTTCTTGAAAATTTTCTTTATGAATACTTCTATTAAAGCGAGGTTTAATACCATAATATTTTACTAAAATCACATATCGGGTTCTTTGATCACTTTTTGTTAAAGCCAACACTAGGTTAGTTTTGTTTCATTAAAACTGCACAGTTTCTAAAATCTGCGATTTAGTGCATCTTAAAATCAGATTTCAAAAATTTATTCTTCGTGACAATTTTTCATCTCATCGAGATCTTAAATTCCCGTTTTTAGAGAAAGTTAAAATTCAGCCTCTAAAGGCTTCGTTTGGCTGAAAACAGTGGCTGTTGTTTTTTCTTGAAACTGTTTTAGTCCAAAACTGTGCCATTTCGGAAACCTGCATTTTACTACATCTTAGGATTAGATTTAAAAAATCTGTTCTTCATGAAAGTTCTTCGTCTCATCGAAAGCTAAAATTGTCATTTTTATGAAAATTGAGATCAGCCTCTAAAGGTCTCGTTTGGCTGAACCACTGGCTGCCAGTTTTTTTTGAAATTGTTTTGGACAACCTGTCCGTTTTTGTAAAATGGCTTTAAACTTACTTTTAGAGTTAAAATGGGGTTTTGTCACAGCCACATAAAATGTTCAAAACATAAAGGGCTATAAGTTTAAGCTTTGGAACACCTAAAAATCTTGCTCTAGGGTTCTCACTTCCGTGTTCAAAGCAACCGGAAAATTTTTCCTCTAACCAAAAATAAGCAACTTAGATTAAACATAAGCATACCATATAAAACTAACCTCAAAACTCACACATATTACAACTTATTTCCTTGAGAATCACAAATTACATCAATGGATTCTCAGCCTTAAACTTTGCTATAAATGAAAATAGAAAGAAAGGTTTTAGAGTTCATACCCTTAAGGAAAGAAAATCCTTGGTTCAATCCTCCTAGAACACCTTGATCCTCCTTCTCTTTCTTGATCTTAAGCTAGTATTTGTATTTAAGGGAGTGGAAGAAAAATTAAAGAGAGAGCATAAGAGAGAGTGTTAGGGCCGGTTTTGGTGTGGGGAAAATGAGAGAAGAATGAGCAAATGAGAGGAAAAGGTTACTTACACAAATGATCTAGTATTTATAGCCTTTTGCTTAATCCCCTCTTAGCTTTTAATCAAGCCTTTGTGTCCAACTTAATTAATCAAAATTTTGCTTAAAATCCTCTAAGCTTGGCCGGTTTGGGTGCTTCAAGGGAGAAGTGAGGGAAGCTTTCTTGTCCAATAGTTGATTTGACACAATCCCATCACACCTTGCCATGTAAT